ATTCCCTAAATGTCCCTCTATAAGTCGACACAGGCTCAGAATATGACGTCATCTGTCATCGTCGTCAAGCTCAAAAAGGCCTGCCGTAACTGCTTTATCCTGAAGCTCTTACATAATTGGCTTGCACTATGCAAACCCCCTCGGAACTCGCTTTTCAGTAAAGGTCGTTATGGTACACGATCCTTCGAAGACCCCATTGAGCTCGACCAGTGCACCATGTTTCCGGGGCAAATTTTTCTGATGCCGTCCACGTAGGTGGCCACTATGAAGATTTTCTTATAGAATGAAATGTGCTCTTCAATATAAGTTGGAACCATTCGGTCTGAATTGAGCAAAATGTGATTAAATCCATCTGAAGTGGAGACAAAATGTCTTTTTTATTGCTTCCCCCTCCCGTGTATAGGAGGAACCTCACAAAATAATAACATAATTTTCATCCTAACTCATCAATGCTCTGAGAAGATGCTCTGTTTGGAGAAGAAGTATGAACTTTTGAATATCTGAACTAGATCGAATTATCGAGTGAATGATTTTGAATTTGGCTCAAACTACTCAGAAACCGTGCTGACATTGAATGGTGGAAGCGTTCAGCGTCGAGGAATCCCTTCTGAGATGCGCCACGCATCAAATCTATATTCAGGATTAAAGTGACCGTTTGAGTGGAATTTGGCATACGATTTTTGAGTATGAGGGGCATATGCGCAGGACAAGGCTTGACCCGAGTTTTACCTTAACATTTGCCGTGCGCGTGGTAGGTGGAGCCGCTTACCACTACACCAAGTCCGCCTTCGTTGTAATTTCCAATAAACAATCAACAATTATTCTTTAGTCGAAAATTATGTAATCCCCTACTAGGTACATCGCTATACTATACCTAAAACGCAAGCTATGTTTACATCTAAAATGTAGAGATACTGTACTACTATTACTTTTGTTCCAAGGATCGAACAGGGCCGCTTGAGAAAAATACGCAAAGATGTGCGTCAAATCATGAGCTCAAGCTTATTTGCCCTTTCGTGATTGGTTTCTGATCGGTGGCTCAAAAATATGTGAATTAGTCGTTACTTTTTCAGATTTCGTCGCGGAGGCTATGGTCGACCAGAAATGATTTCTCCACCCATGGACAGCGGATTCCAGACTGAAGTTGGACCACCTCCACCTCCACCACCTCCACCACCACAAGTGACAGTCAGCGAGGTGTCGTTTGGCGGCGGCGGTGGTGGATACGGGCGCCCAAGCTATCCACAGCAGTTCCCATCGTATGGCGGTGGCGGTGGTGGCGGTTTCGAGCAACCAGTGAACAACTACGATCGTCCTCCAGTTGGCGGATATGGTAGACCTAGCTTTGGCGGCGGCGGCTTTGGCAGCGGCGGCTATGGCGGCGGCGGCTATGGCGGCGGATTCGGAGGTCAATTTGGTGGAAAGTGAGATGTCGCAACTTCATAGTCAGCAACGGGTAATCAGGGATTCTGATTTGGTCTCGTATGAATACATTGAAGCTGCTATTGTCAAATCCGTAACTGTAAATTGTACAATCCATGTCGAGACGATTATTACGGAAGAAAAGGATTAATAATAAAAGTTCTTTGTGATACTGCACAACTGTTTGCTACGGATTGACCATGATATGCGGTACTACTACTGAAGAAACACCGGTAAATGTAATAATGGAAGGAGTAGCGTCGTAAAATCAGAGCGTGTTACCCTCTTGGTTGGTACTTAAATGCTTTTTTTACTCATTCTTCCTTTTTTCATGACAGAAAAGCGTTGGTATCGAAGTTGTGGGAATTTGGCGATCTTGCGACGAAGCGTCATCTTCCTTCACTTTTCCACTCATAAGATCCCACTCTTTTGATCTCATGATCTCTCATGAAGCTCCTTTTCTTAAAAGCATAACGAGATATTTAAAGCGAGAGATTACGATAAAGTGTGTGTGCAGCATGGAAGTACATGCACCAGTGGAAGCAGTAGTCAGGGGCCAAGGAAGCGAATGTGGCCTTTTCGTGGCCAAAGGTGCGCTAGTTCAGCGCCCTGGGCTGCCAATCCTTCCTGAGCTCCGCCTCCGCAGCCTGTGCTCCGCCCATCGGTGTTCTGGGACGGTAGTAAAGTGCCATAGACTGGGAGTTAAAGGTGGTGAACTACGGCCGTAAACGGTGAATAATGAAAGGCGAGACAGCCAGATGACCCCGCTCTGAATGGCGAACTTCACTACATTCCTAGCAAAAGTCGCGTCGCCATGGACTTGAACCATGTAATGCAGCGCCCATGAGCGCGACGTTTGCCACTGCACCACAAAGCATTGCTGGTTACTTTGAAAGAATTGTAGAAAGCAAGGTAGTAACCTATGAGGGTTGCAAAACATCCAGTATCATGGAGAACTGATCCCGCGAATGATCGCACCCTACTGCGCCAATCGACGTTTCTGTGACCTAGGATCATATGATTGTACAGTAGTGAAATGCTCCCAGGACCAAGGAAGGAGCTATAACACGATCAATAAGTGGAACCCTGCGGGGGACAGCTGATCACCTTATTGGCAGAAAGTTATCAATATTATCGACAGCTCCAGTGGCTTTCTTGCTGCCTCCACTCAACACCTTCAAGTACCC